TCTAGAGACGTTAAGGGTATATTATTAGTACTGCATGGCTTAATGGTGGATCTAAGGCTAGATATGTTCAGGATCTTTATTGGAGATCAGTACAAGAGGGTTATGCAGTATGTTGTATGATAAATCGAGGAGCGTGTGGTACTCCTGTTCAAGGTGGTCCAGAGAATGAATTCTCTGTTGGTCGTATTAGTGATGTATATCGTACTATCGAGGTTATTCGTAATGCTATTGGTAATACCCTACCTATTACCCTCGTAGGGTACAGTATGGGTGGTATTGTAGCGACTAATGTTGTTGCTAAATATGGCCATAAACTGAAGGGTAAACTATCTGGTTGTGTATCGATATCAGGGTGTATACGTATGTATGATAAAGTAGATTATGCAGTAGCTCGAGAGCTATGGCAGCCTATAATGGCGTTTGAGCTTAAACAATGCCAATTAGGTCCTCTTATACGTCGCTCAGGCTTTACTCCATCAAACCCTGATTGGTATCGGAAACCTATGGATCTAGTTGATGTTGATGCTGATATCATGGCACCTCTGCATGGCTTTGATAATGCTGATGATTATCGTCATTCCTTGAGTGCAGCTAGTGAAATATCTAGTGAAGGAGCTCGTAATATTGCAATACCAACTTTACTTGTACATGCTCGTGATGATCCTGTTATACATGTTGATGCTGCTGCCAAGTTACCTCCTAATGCATCCAAATATCTCTATACACTAGTAACTCCATCTGGTGGGCATTTAGGATGGCCTCAAGGGTGGTTACCATGGCAACAAGGCTTTAAGTGGATATCGGATACTGTTGTGGCCTTTGCTGATGTTGTTTCCAATAATAGCACTTTACTCTTACAAGAAGAAGATGAAGATGACAACACACAGAAGGATGTGAAAATATACTCTGTCTTACCAGAGTAAACATCATAATCAGTCGTGAGTTCCTGATGATGACGCTAACAACTCTTTTTTACTGTTATATTCCCTCTGAAAAATTTTCTGAAAAGTTATATCATAGGGTCGAGCTTGTGGTCAATCGTTTCTTCTGTGATGTTAGTTTTGAATGCCGAGTAGAGTTGAGACCCGTAGGTCACCGTCTCATCCCTCTGCTGTTGGACCCTCCCTGAGGTTCTCATCGATTACCCTTGAGGAGTTTTGGCAATCTGTTTGTCGTGTCACTAAGGATAGATCACACCTACCACACCATGAACAAATGATGAAGAGTACACCTCCCCCTCCATCTGGATGGATCCTTTTATCGATGGTCCTACTTGCTTTGGAGGCATCTCGTCATATTCTACTACCATTACTATTCCTTTTGCCCATCATTCTGGACTAC